CCCATATGCATATTTGCATTTGACTTCGCTTTGCTGACTTTCAACCATGTGTTGTACTCTTCGTTACTGTTCTTGTTTACTTATGCTCATAAATTTAAGATGCTCACATAACGGTAGTCAACACAACAAAAACAATGCTTTTATATCCACACCAAGGGGCGTGTACGTGCTCCGGGAATAACGTGTCTTTCAATGAGCACTACAATCATTTCCAGAAACACCTACATAAACGCACCCAGCATCAACAACCATAACAAAAAGTACAAAATGTTGACAATGGCAGAGAGATTAAGCGTTTGTAAAACAGTTAAATAACACCTAGAAACTGTGCTGCGCTGTGGGAGCTCACACTCGACGCACAAAGCCTCTGCTCCATTGAAGGAATGCGAAGTGCAAATGGCTTGTGGTGCATGCGTTTTCTACATTTTCAAGCGTTTTCCACAAAGAGAAACATACATGCATACGTATGTGCGTGTGCGTGTACGTGGATGGTTCTGGTTTTTGTCATTTAACCAATGCCATAAATCCTTCAGTGTAACTTGTGAACTTCCACATACGAGTACAAATACTGTTATTTTTGCTTGGAATGCTTTAAGCAACACGCTCGCTGCGTAAGCGTTTTGTAGCTTAAAAGCTTTGCTTCGGCACACAACAACAATAGCAACTGATATATTTAAAGCTAGAACTTGAATATCAAAACATCACAACTATAAGGAACAACAGCACCACTCAATACTCTCGCTTTAACTCGTAGGTGACTTGGTATAGTTGTTGTTTGTTGTTACTTTCTTACTTTCGGTGTACATACATATGTATATTGTGTTATGTGCGTTAAGCAGCTTTAGCGTTTGGCTTAATGAAGTTTCGGAAAATGAGGTGAAAATCGCGAAATCGTTTCCGTTAGTTAATCGCTTCCACATGCACTAGTGTTGCAAAAGCACGTTTACATTTGCGTACAGTTAAAACTGTAAACCGCGCGCAACATCACGCACGAAGTCTATAAAACTACAAAATAAAAACTAGAGTGTTGCCACCTATTTGAAAATGCTAAGTCAAAAAGATTATAAGATAAAGGAACGCTGGAGAAGTGTGCAGGAAACTCAATATTTAAACTAGCGCTGTGTTAGGGTTGCCACTTGTTTGAAAATGTATATTAAATAAGATTTAAAAAAATCAGTATTACTGGAACACGTCAAATTACACATACTTTTTAAAAACTCCTCTTTAGGAGATATTTTTGTGTAGTAGAGTTGCCACATGCTTGAGAAATTTATATTAAATTTAAAAAATATTATTGTAAAACCGCTAAACCGCACTTACTATTTAAAAAAAATATATATATTTGTAGATGTTTGTGTGGTTGCCACCTGTTTCGAAACTGTATTTAAAAGGATTTATAAGAAGCCATACTACTGTTTAAGGAAAGAAACACTGTGGGATAAATTGACTAAAAAATTCTAACAGAGATGTTTGTGGGGTTGCCAACTCTAGAAAAAATTTATTTTAAATAATTTATTTTAAGTCAAATACTGTTTAAAATTAATTAACGCTATAGAATTAATTGAACAGGTTACAGAGTGCTTATGGAAAAAAGCATTGGAGACATTTTAATGGTTGCCACCTGTTGAAAATGTTTATTCTAAATAAATTATTTTAAGTCAAATAAGGTTTAAAATTAAGAAGCGCTATAGAATAAATTGACAGGTTACAGAGTACTTATGGAAAAAAGCATCGGAGACATTTTTATGGTTGCCACCTGTTGAAAATGTTTATTCTAAATAAATTATTTTAAATCAAATAAGGTTTAAAATTAAGAAACGATATAGAATAAATTGACAGGTTACAGAGTGCTTAGGGAAGAAAGCATCGGAGACATTTTTATGGTTGCCACCTGTTGAAAATGTTTATTCTAAATAAATTATTTTAAATCAAATAAGGTTTAAAATTAAGAAACGCTATAGAATAAATTGACAGGTTACAGAGTGCTTAGGATTGAATAGGTTCAGAAAAAACATCTATCGGATACATTTTTGTGGTTACCACCTGTTGAAAATTTTTATTCTAAATAATTTATTTTTAGTCAAATAGTTCAAGATAATGGCACGCTATGGAGTAAGTAGAGTAGGTTACATAGTGCTTAGGATTGAAACAATTATTGAATCAGGGTTGCCACCTGCTTGAAAATTTTATTAAAATTATTATACAAAAAATAACTATTGCTGTAAAAACGTTAAACGAAAAGTGTTAAAAAAAAACTTCTCGGAGATATTTTAGTGGTTGCCATGTGCTTGATTAGGGTTGTCACCGGCTTGTAATTTTATTAAAATAAATTCGTAAAAAATACGTATTACTGTAAAAACGTTAAACTAAACATACATATGTATTATGTCGAATTTTTTCTCGCTGCCATATGCTTGAAAATTTTATGTAAAACAGTGTACGTAAAGTTGAAATTATATTTAAGCCAAACAATAGTAATGATATAAATTGAGGAGCTTACAGAGAGCTCAATATTGAAACCAATTTTTGAGGGGAGTTGCCACCTGCTTATTAAGTTTATAAACATTAAATAATGCTGTACAAATATTAAATAAAACTTGTTTAAAAAATTTGTGGCGAAGATTTTTTTCTATGGTTGCCACCTGCATGAAATTTATATATGTTGAATACAGTTTATATTAACTCAAAATAATGTTTAGGATGAAGAAACACCTTGAATCAATTGGAGGAGCTTACAGAGAGCTAAAAACTAAAACCATTTTTGAATAGGGTTGCCACCCACCTAATAACCTTAACAAAATCAAATTCATTCAAAAGAAATATTACTCTAAAACTGTTAAATTAAACATATTAACAAAAATCGAAAAATTTTCATGGTTGCCATCTTTATAAAAATTTAATTTGAAACAGCATATATTAAGTCAATATACTGTTTAAGATAAATAAATGTTATATTATAAATTGAGATTATTACAGAGTGCTATTGAAAACATTTTTTGTTAGAGTTGCCACATGCGTCAATTTTTTAATAAATTAAATTTTTGGAAAAATAAATAATACTCTAAAGACATTAAATAAAGCGTTTAAAAAAAATTATGTTGGAGATATAATTAAGGTTGCCACCTGCCTCATATTTATATTTACAACTACTTACATAACTTCACAAGAATGTTTAATATAAAAAAACATTATGGTATAAATAGCGAGACTGCAAAAAGTTTACGATTTAAAACTTTTGGGTATGGTTGCCAACTGTTAAAATTTTTTTAAATAAATTTTTTTCTAAATTAAATTAAATGAGAAAAGAAATGTTTTTATATATGCATTGAACTTAACGTGTTAAAAAAATTATTTCGCATAATGCTTTTGTGGTTGCCATCTAGAGTTAGATTTGGATAGACAGTTAACAGTGAGCCATATTTTAAGCTAAGATTACCACCACGTGATTAAAGATGCTTAATAAAAAATTATGATTGAATAATTGTCTACCAACGTAGAGAAATTAAGAAGGCTAACAAAAAAAAATTTTTTTAAGGTTGCCACCTGTTAATTTTTTTACTTAATATTTTTAATTTTTAATTCATAAAAAGTTAAATACAACAATATAACATATTATAGTTGCCATAATACACATATTTATCAAATATTTCCATCAACAAATTTTCGAACAGCGTTGCCACATATTCAAAATTAATACAGTCAAACTCTCAGCTATCCAAGACCCTTAATATAATAACCTATCAGATCGATATCTCAAAAAAGGACGGACCACATAGTTCACACAAATAATTTATAAGTTTTTTGTTGCTCATACGACATGGTGTACTACTTGAAGCAGTACATTTGCTGCAAAACTTTAACTACGTACAACTCTTAAAGCATTGTTTGTATGAAAAAAATTATTAAGACATTTATTGTAGAGTATAAA